ATTTTAAATTATTTAAAATTGCATGGGGGGCCCATTTGTGCATATGGGCCCACCATGACATGTTGGTGGGAGCCCAGAAGTTGCCATCATGGGTGGCACACCCAACTTCTTGTGGCTTGCCCTTTATGTGTTCAAGCTTATGGCTTGAGAGTAAAGATAGCCTATGTTTTGGAAAGCTTGTGCTTTGAGAAAGTTTTGAAATTAAATAAGGAATGTGTAAAGAGGCTTGTGCATGAGTATAGTAAGGACAATATTATAATTGATATTTCCTTGTTTATATTTCCTATATATAGAATGGATGGCTCATATCTCTCACCCCAAAAATCACCCAAGATCAATGATATATATTCAATCTCAAGTAAGCTATGAAAACCCTAAAAAATCCTAAAACCCCTTGAAACAATATAAAAAATGATGGACCATACCCAATATTCTCTACACCTCTCTCTCTCTCTCTCTCTCTCTCTCTCTCCTATGGTAAGGAAGGGGCATGCCGCACTCATGGTATTCTTGATCTCTCTCCCATCTTGTTGTGATATAGCTAAAGGGTTTAGAGTGTAGAAAGGAGATGCTATCTCTCTCAACTAGGTGATCAAGGGGATCTACCTAAGTTTGATATTTGTGATTGAAAGGAGTTCTTGTTCTATTGGAGAGTTTGGCCTAAATTTTCTTTTTCGAAGGTTGACTATTGATCCCATGCCATTGAAAAGTGGTGACTCGATGTGGGATGTAAGAAACCCAGTAGAGGTAATCTCCAGCACTCTCTTTATTGTTTCTTGTCATTACTCTTTATGTCTTTTATTATTTCCAAGCATAGTTTGTGTCTTTCTTTGGTTATTAAAATAGAAATTTATAGTGGCATCAAGTTTTGAGATCCTAGATTTATTTCTTTTATTTGTTTTAAAGTTGATTTCTTGTAAAAGGACCACTTGTGAGTGATCTAAGCTATGAAGAAAAAAAAAAAAAAAATTATAGATACTCTGACTAGATCACATAAAATCTTTCTTTCATAGTTAAGATGAGGGAAGAGATAGAAATTGAGAGAGAGTTGAGAGAGGATGGTATTGTTTGCTTTTGAAGAGTTTGGAAATGGTTGGTAAGGGGATTAGTAATTTTCAACTATTTATAAGGGATATTCATTAAGGTATGCAACTTTCCAAAAGAGGCCATTCGTTTATTTAGGGGCATGCAACTTTTCAAAAGAGAGTTTTTCAAATTTGGAGATTTTCTTATGGATAAAAGATTAGGGAAGTGGTAGAATTAATATAGTATTCTCCCCTCCTAAGGTCTCCATTCTTGAGGTTTTATACCTCCCTTATGAGTATCTCTCTTTCCTCCAAATCTCTCATCTATATTATTGATTCTCTATTTTTTAAAATTTAGGAACTAAGGGATGCTCCTAAAAACTTGAGAGATATGGAAAAGGTGATAGTTCATTAGATAAAGGTGCAGTTTATATAAGGCCGAGGCTCTAAATAATCAAAGTAAATCGCACCTTCAAATAGTGTCGAGAAATTTGGTTTCTATATTGGAAATCTTTGTGATAGCCTTGAAATATATATTTTCATTTGTAATTATAAAATTTAAAGCTTAAAAAATAGTGTAGATTGAGTAGATCTATGAAAACTTTAAAATCTTAAAAATTGACGATCTAAAAATGCATTACAAGATGCATCTATTTCCAAAACTTGAAATTCATTTTTTCCTCATGTCCATGCCTATTGAGGTCGAAATGATCAATTTAAGGACTTTTGGGCATACAAAAAAATCTCTTCTAGTGAAATTTTTTAGGTGTGCACTAATTTAGTTGTCTAGAGCCTCGCACTTATATAAATTTTTTCTTCAGATAAATAGAATAATGGTCTTCCTTTATTTTTCTCTGAATATCAACTCTCTCTCTCTCTCCATCTTACTTTCTCTTTATCTTTCCTAAAATCCTATATACCCTTTTCGTAATGGCACGTTTATTTTACGTGAAAATATTTTATGGAACATATTTTCATATGAAAAAATTCTTTCATGTGGCTAGATGTGGAAATGTTTTGATACCAAATGGTCTCAATGCATATTCTCACACCAATTAACAACTATTTAGTGTGAAAATATTTTAACTAACCACATGAAAATTTTTCGCATGAAATATTTTTTGAGATATACTTTTAAGTGAAAATATAATATTTGCACACGAACCAAACATGCCCTAAAGATCAAGTCTCTTCCTACATGTATTTTCCTCTTTCTCACCCCAACGTCCTAAAGATCACGTATCTGCACCACCCCCCAAAGGATCACATCCCTCTCTTACCTCATTTTTAAGATTCAATTGCCTTAAGTTCTCTTAAGAAATAGGGGCCTTCTTATTCTTGTAACATATGTCTATCCCTTAACTTTAGTTTAATAACAATAGTATAGATATGTAATGCTCAAGCATAAATAATCAACCAACAATTGAAGTAAAATCATAAATCCATAAGGATGGAAGAATTAGCCTCAGCTACATCTTATCACATTAGTTTTTTTTTTGTTGGGTAATTCAGTAGGGATGAGGAACCCCTACTCGTTTATTTTAAATCGTTAGTAGTTTTTTAATGCATTAGGTGATTTCTTGAAAGCTTCTCTTTCCTTCTAAGTACCAATGTTTCAATAGTCAAAACTGGCCTCCAACTTGCCACAGTTTGATTGTGATTTGCCCGGATGGGCTCAAGGATTCCTTGGTTGGACCGGCTATACTTAAAAAGTTAGAAAATAAGGAGAATCGAGCAATTTCAGGGTTTTCCCCTGATTAGAAAGGATTGTAACCCTTTGATTTTGACCCTTTAATAGTCAAAACTAGCCTCCAAGATTGTGATTTGCCCAGATGGGCTTAAGGATTCCTTGGTTGGACAGGTTATATTTAACATAAAAATAAAAAAAATGTTAAGAAATAGGGATAATCGAGCAATTTCAGGATTTTTCCTTGATTAGAAAGGGTCGTAACCCGGTGTTGGTTCCATCTACCCAGGGTCCCAGGAGAGGTGAGCTGAAAACGATCTTAACCTTTGGTTTTTTATGCACAAAGTTGCCGCTCTAAAGACTCGAACCACTCTCTTGTGCTGGCTACCCGAACCTTTACCATCACACCAAGTGACCCTAGGGTTTTCCCTAACTACTAATCCCAAATCTATCTTTTCGCTTCCAGTGTGACTTACAATTTCCTTGTTTTGTAGATATTTCAGGAAATTAGTTAACAATTGAATTGTTGGATTAGATACTTTCTGGGCTGTGGTGCCGTCTAACTAAAAGATAGAGTAAAACCAAGCAAAAGGTGGATAATTAATAAATGTTTAAAAGGTATCAAGCGGAAGAGATTATAAGCTGAACTTGATACAATACATTACTAGGCCGTCTTAGCTCAGCCGGTAGAGCGCATGGCTTTTAACCATGTGGTCGTGGGTTCGATTCCCACAGACGGCGATATTAACATTAAAAGCAATGCATTGTTGTTTGGTGAGTCATCTAGATCTGCTAACACTGGCCGGCCCCTTTGTTGGGACACCTGCACAGCAAAATTGTTTGGTTTTAAAAAAGCTAGATGAGTAGTAATCTGGTTTCAAAAAGTTAGATGAGTAATCTGCTAACACAATATTGGCCAGCCCTTTGTTGGGACACCAGATGTGCACAGAAAAATATAGTGAAGAAAAAAAATGCTCAAAAAAAATAATAAAATAGTGAGATTTCTTAGCTTGTGTTTGTTGGCAGTGTTATAGTGTCTCTGAGGTTAAGTATTTGGTGAAAAGTGAAAAAGTAGAGTTGTGGTGAAAAAAATAAAATAGGGTTTCTTAGTTTGTGGAGTTTGGCTGTATTTGTTTGTTGGTAGTGTGAGTCTTTGAGGTTCAGTATTTGGTGAAAAAGAAGAGTTTTTGTGAAAAAAATAAAATAGGGTTTCTTAGTTTGTAGAGTTTGACTGTATTTGTTTGTTGGTAGTGTAGATAGTTGTGTTGTAAGGTTTTTATTTTTATTTTTTGAAGATTACATGGGAATGAAACTTGAGATGTAGTACTATAAAAACCCAATTGCTACCGTCTTGACCCAAGCTCGATTCCTAATAATAGGATTTCTTAGAGCACGATTCCTAATAATAGGGTTTCTTATATTGTAGCGTTTAGTTGCATTTAGGATTGTATTTGGGATTGATGATTGGCTTTTTTTTTAACGTTAAAAACAAAAACAAAATAGACCAATGACCCTACATCAATAGAGATTAGTCAAAAAAAAAAAAGGGGTTACACGATGACCAAGTCAATTACAATATATGTGTAGCGCGCTACTAGGCCCTTAGAACGTATAGCCCTTTGTTGTTGCGATACCAAATGTGCTCCCAAAATAAAAAAACAAGGTGCACAATGACCAGCATCAATAGGACAGTCATAAAATATATTTGTACACGCACGTGCCAATTTTAGCATACAGCTTTTTTCCAAAAAACCAAAATAGAGGTACACAATGACCAACATCAAAAGGCGCCTGTGCAGGCCCATTTGGATGTACCAAAAAGTGGGCATTTTGGATGACAAATACTCTCGAAGTTTTGCCTTTCCATAAAAAAATCTCTCATTTGATGCTAAAAACGGTATTTAAAAAAAAAAAATCATTTATTACAAAGTGATCACAATTAATCTTGACCATTAGATGTGAAATTGAGAGGCTGCATTTATTCCATTGATCAAACTCAAAATTCAAAAGATAACTTTATCAAATGTTACTTCACACCCAAGCTATCATATTTCACATCGAACAGTTGTAAATAAATGTGACCTCTTTGTACCTAAAAAGTTCATATACGACTTAGTTTTTTTTACTCACTATAGTTTTGGCTTAAGTTTAACGGGCCCAGCCCCCATATTCTCTTTTCGCATGCCCAAGCCCCCTCCCTGCCTCGCCCTAAGTATCATGGACTCATCTCTTTTCCTCGTAAGAATAGAAGCCTCCCCTCCTAATGGAAGAGTAAATAACAGCAAGCAAAGCTCAAGTAAATGTTCAGCTACCCATTTACTGCTATCAATTTACAATATTCGCGAATAGAAAAAGTTGATTAACATTAGTGAACTTGATGTATAATTTGAAGAGCAGAGCAAATTTCTGCTAGCCCAGATAGGATTGCCCATTCACCAAAATCTAGATGCCTTAATTTATAAAAATTCCAAAACTCCTAAGTCTTTACCGCCAATTTGTTCATTGCTGCATTCACCCTTTCCTCAGTGGGAAGCTTGTAATTATCGTAGAAGTCCAGGATCTCCATCGAGATATTCTTGATCTGAGAAATGTTGTAAGAATTAGTCAATTCCCATGGATGCAAACAATAATCATGGGATTAAGGATAAGATAAAATTCAAACAAGTAGCTACACTTATGTAAGAAAGTATTTACCACATTCATATCTACCCGAAGCTCTTCAAACCATGAATTTGTATCCTTATCTTTGAGTACGCTGGCAATGTATATGCACGCCAATGATATCATGTATGGAGGATAAATGAGAATAAGATCCATCTTATAGGTATCATTAACAAGAGACCTGCATTGAAATAGACCACACTCAGTAAGAAATCCCCAATGAAATCTTCAATCCAATCCATGTGGGCGGTGCTAGTTGCTCGAATATTCAACTTCACCATCTTTATATCAATTTTGTAAGAGATGACAAGGAGAAGAAATGGTAATCTTTTGACCTAGAAAGACCATTTATGGTGACTACTGAGGAATCTTTTCTTTTCTCTAATATGCCCTTGTGTTTCTAGTTTTACTTGACAAAAACTTCATAATTTAGAGTTCCAAATTTTAAGTATAAAATTAAAAAGATCCAAGATTCGGTCACAAAAACAAATAAAAAATAAATAAATAAAAAAGGAAAAAAAAGGAAGAGGGGGGGTTTTTTTCCCGGGGGGGGGGGGGGGGGGGGGGGGGCAGGCATACAAGGTGCTCTAAGGCTCAGGTGGCTAGATCAGAAAGACATCACATTGGAGAGGTTCCCTGGAAAAGTTTTGACCTACCTAGAGATGAATCTCTAGAGTCAATGGAATTTTTATGAATTTTAATCAGATAAAGACTGTTTAAGAGTCATTGTGGGTATTATGTTGACATAATCTGTTCAAGGGACATCAGGCCAGATTCTATTTCTTTGATACTGATTACCGAAAAAATGCCTAAGGATATGAATGAAATCAGGTCCGTTTGAAGTGATGCTTTTTTTTCTTATATTATATATGCAGTGACACCTTTTGCTGACAAGGAAGCTGTTTAGACTTGGCAGATCAAAATAAATTGCTAAGGTACGTAAATAGCGAATTATGGCCCACAAAAGTTGCATTCCAATCCTACGAGAAGGAAGATCAAGCAAGATGGAGAAAGCACATCCCATATGGTTTGGAGGGCATTGCTGCAAAGTCGGGGGTTACGGCATTGGAGAGACATGAAAGCCCTTTGTTTGTGTAAGTAGGTCAATGGCACCACTTCCAATTCTGGTGAATAGTTCATCTAGAGGACATTTTTACTTCCTCTTGATGGATTGAAACATAATCCTTTTTTCGGACTGGTAAGATGGGGAGATGCCTTTTTGTCATATCTGTTCACTTCAAATAAGGAGTTACCAAGTCAGATCCTGCATTAGTAAGAGGCTAAGAGCATATTGCTGCAGAATTGGGGCTTATGGTACTGTGGTGCTGTGACGGCCATTCATTTAGGTAACTTGATGGCATCCTTTTCATAGGATACTTTAGTACCACTGATGGATTGAGACATGAAAGCCCCCTTTTTTTAACTGATAAGATTGGGAGACACATTTTCTTCTTGTCTGTTTACTTTAAATAGGGAGCTACTAAATTGAACCCCACTTTTAGCAAGAGGCCCGCAGTTAATTAGGTAATTGAAAATTTCCAGCATGTTCTTCATCTAAAGTTCAAAATGAACTGGCATGATGAAGCCAAAAAATCTAAGGAAAACGAAGATAGAGTACACATTACTGTGAATGAGAGAGCACAAGCCTGGAAGCCCATTCCTAACTTGGTAGTTCTCTCCCTTGCCTCTGATGCACAAAGGATCATCTAAATGCAGGTTGATTGGAAAAATGAATTTTTATCCCTGGCTAGTGGTACAGTGCCAAGTAAGGCCACTATCAGACTTCCCAGTTTATCTTTCAGCTGTCTTTGAAATGCCTTCATGAGCGACTGCGAAATTGGAGTGAGTCCAAATAATTACTTTCGGATAGGACAAGGAAATATGAGCAAGATATGTCTAGCTACTTGGGACGACAGGTATTTTCCAAGGCGGTTGGGGACGTGAGCAATAGTTTAGGGAGTAAAGGCCAAAAAATGAAAGAAAAAACTACTTAGGAAGATGCCCACTTCTCACATCCTATGGAGTGATACAACAAAGGCAATCTAAGAAAAAACAGTTGTAGGGGGATTTCATAGATGATGAGTTATTCTCCTTTCTCATATAATCCGTGTGGAGTAGAATTCACTGTGTGTTCCATGCAGACAGGTTTGATGATTTAAACGAGGCATCTTCCATGTAAGTACATGCCAAGGGAATTTTCCTCATGAAATTAAGTTTATCACATCAGGGATGACGAATTTCTTGGGGTTTATGCTTTCTTTCGCATAATTCATAAGGGGGTTTTATAGAAATTCTGTTTTGTATAATTGATCATGGTGAAGGATTGTATTACAGTTTTCTGATATTTTGCAGAACTTTCTACATCTTGGTTAGTATATAAGGGGTCACATTACAATCACAAGGAGAAGTTTATCTGATGGAAGACAAAATTTACAACTTGGTATTCATGTAGGAAGTATAAAATTTCGAACTCTCAAACTTGCAAACTTCCCCATCGTACTTGGTATTCATGTAGTAAGAGTAAAATATCAAACTCTCAAACTTGCAAACTTCCCCATCCTACTTGGTATTCATGTAGGAAGTGTAAAATTTCAAACTCTCAAACTTGCAAACTTCCCCATCCTACTTCTAGATCAGTGAACTTCTAGATCAGTGAATAAAAAAGAAAATATACAACCGTTATGATCCGAACTGGAACTTGAAAGGTAGGAATGGAGTTTGTTGGAAGGTTGCAAACCCTCTATCCATACACTCGAGGAGTTTTAAAAAACGACCCAGTGAGAACAATTAGCAAGTCAATTCAGGACAGATGCCGCAAGTTTTGACAAAAGTGCCATAATCAATGCCCAAAAAATATGAGAAAAAATGTTGAAACATTTGGAAAAAATTATCCTTGGGAATACAAAACATAATGAAAAAAGACCTACACTGCGGGTAGATAACATTGACATAAATGAGAAGATTTTTGTTTAGGGATTGTATACTATAAGACCATTTACTATTGTTACAAGGAGGTCACAATCACTCCTATAGCCATAAGATATCAAATTAGAAGGCTTGGGTTGTGTCACGAAGTTCTAGAAATTTTGTTTTGAAGATTGAGTCTAGTCAATGACACACAACCATCTGATTTAAAACCGAACAAGAGTGATTATGACCTGTTGTTGTAAAAGTAAATGTTCTCTTTCTACAATTTTCCTATTGTTTAATATGTCTAAATTTTTCGGTTTTCAAGTATATTTCGACTTGAACAAGATAACTTGATAAAGAATTTAAGAAAATAATATTTTTATTCCATTTCATATTTTTTAAAACTTCTTTAAGGATAAAATTGAGAGTTCTATTAATAATTTATTGAATCTCACTAAATAACCATGTATGCATCATCATCATCCAAGCCTTAGCAAAACTATTTAGGATCGATTACATGAATTGTATTCCACCATTCCGCTCTATCGAGGGCCATACCCTTAGTCGGATCATAAGTCATCATATCTTTTCTCACTACTTTCATCCATGTCCTTTCAGGCATTCACTTTCTCTTTTAGAGCCTTCCACATGAAGTAAATCACCCCTCCTAACTGGTGATGTTCCAGGTCGATACTGCACATGACAAAACCACCTAAGTCTACTTTTCCTCATTTTATCGCTTATTAGAGCTAGCCATAAATTCCCTTGAATGTATTCATTCTGAATTCTATCCTTCTTTATCGTGTCACTCGCACATCTCAACATCTTAATCTCATCTACACCAATTCTATGGCTGCATTGTTTCTTGACCGTCCAACATTCCTTCCGATAAAGCATGACAGGTTTTATGGCCATCCTATAGAACTTCCCCCTAAGTTTTATTGGTATGTGATGATCACATGAGACTTCAGAAGTATTTATCCAATTCATCATCCCAACACTAATTCCATGAGCAATATCTTCCTCAATCTCTCCTTTCTCATGGAGGACCGATCCAAAACATTGAAAATAATCTCTTTTAGGTGCTTCTTGGCCATCAATCCTAACTAATTCCTTGCTTTTACTTTTATTATTACTAAACATAAATTCCCTATATTTTCTCTTAGTCCGAATAGTTTTAAAACCTTAAGATTCTAAAGCTTCCCTCCAAAGTTTTAACTTTGTGTTTACGTTGTCTCTAGTCTAATCAATCAAAATTATGCTATCCGTAAACAACATACACCACAAGACCTCATCATGTAGATGCGTAGTTAACTTATTCATAATACAAGCATATATAGGCTCAACATTGATCCCTGATGTACGCCTACTGCCATTGAAGACTCACTTGTATCTCCACTAGTTATCCTCACATTAGTTAGGACTCCATCGTGCATATCTATAGCCATGTCAATATATCCTCTTAAGCATTTTTCCAGCACCTGCCAAAGTATCTCTCTTGGGTGCTCTATTGTATGCTTTCTCTAAATCAATAAAGACCACCTGGAGGTCTTTACTCTTCTCCCTAAACTTCTCAATCAATTGCTTAAGTAGGAAAATAGCCTCAGTGGTTGAATTCCCTAACATAAATCTGAACTGATTTTCTAATACTCATATCACGTTTTGGTCGTTGCTCAATCACTCACTCCTACAATTTCATAATGTAGCTCATAGTTTGATCTCTCAATGGTTTGTACAACTCTATACATCTCCCATGATCTTATAAATGGGTACCACAGTTCTTTTCTTCCATACATTTGGTATTTTCATTGTTCTCAAAATCTTGTTGAACAACTTGATCAACTAGAATGCGCCAATCTCTCCCATGCACTACCAAACCTCTATCGATATACCATATGGACCTAAAGCCTTTCCTATCTTCATCTTTCTCAAAGCTTCTTTCACTTTAGATATCCTAATCCTATGCAAGTATCATGGCCCTCGAACTCATTTATGTCGATGATTCCTCCTAATGCTGAGCTCTAGAGTTATCATTTAATAATTTCTGAAAATAGATTTTCCACCTTTCATTAACCCCCATCATCCTTCACCAACTCCATCTGAACCTCACTTTTAATGCATTTACTATGATCTAGGTCCCTACACTTCCTCTCTCATTTTTGCTTGTTGGAAGGCATCTTTTTCACCTTCTATTGTGCTCAATTTATTATATAAATCATGATCTACCTTAACCGCCTTATTTACTATTTTCTTAGCATTCCTCTTGACATTTTTATATTCTTCTTAATTCTGATCATTTTTATTCCCCTGCAAGCTTAGTAACAAGATCGTTTTTTGCTAATTGCGCCTCATCCTTCCACCACCAAGTTTCGTTACCTAAAAGTATTTTTCCTCTAGATTCTCCTAGACTTCTTTTGCCACTTTCTTAATACGATCAGCCAGCCATATCATTATCTCAAATGACCATATATACAAATCATAAATACTAGGAAATCGTCCCAAAAATTGTAAAACAATAGGTAAACCCTTTTTACTCTTTCTGCAGCTTTCTTTCGAGTAAAAGTTTTTTCCACGAGAATAAGGCAATTCTAACACTTGGATGGTCTCACTCAAAGTTTCATTCGTTTTTTTGTTGATCATCTTCCAAATAAGCTTAATAAATTAAAAATAGAATAAATACTAATTAATTTTTAAGATAAAATTATCCCTTTCTTGGCTTTTTTGTTTTTGTTTTTGTTTTTGTGTGTGTGTGTGGGTTGGGGGGGGGGGGGGGGTTGGTTGGTCGGGTTGGTGGTGGGTGTGGACCGGGTTAATACTTTTCAGTTTTCACATTCGCAAACGTTAAGTAACATAATAGTGTCAAATGTAGAAGACAAGGGGAGTCTCACATTGAGTCGAATGAGTTTTGCTTTTTTAGTGTTTTATGGAGGAGCCAACTCTTGAGCATGACATCCCATGAGACAACTTAAAATTCAATTATGGCATGATCTTTAAACCAGAATGGGCAACTTTTTTCAAGGATTTGTGATTTGACTGGATTCATATAATTATGCTGCTAAAACAAAGTTTCATGTTTCAATAATATAGTTGACATATCCAATAAATGAACTTAGAAGAAAAGAAAATCCTTACAAAGCAGGGACTGTCAAATCTGTCATACCAGCATCTTGTAATAACCTGTGCAAATAATCAATATCAAATCCAATTTATTCGTACAAGAGAAAATATAACTAAGCCAGATAATAAAAAGAACATATTATCAACCACACAAAAATTTGGCAGCAGGAAGAATAAAACACGAGAGCATCCCAAGGTGAATGCCAACTGATCTAGAAAACCAAACAAGCTATTTGAGAAAGGGATTTACAAGGAGAAAATAATATATGAAAGCATCAAATGCTAAAAGACAGTTATGACATGCTCCTTAGAGTCATTAAATAAATTTTCTATATATGTTGTATTGAGATGCACCATCCAATATTGACCATTATTGTATTAGTGCTTCTTCATTTGTTCTCCATTCTCAAGGGAAGCATTCATTTTTCTAAAAATTTGAACTTTTGCCTAACTAAGGGTTAGTCTAATCTTTCCTTACATTTCACACTGCACATATTGGTTTTTTGCCCTTGTTTCGTCCAATGAGTTCTCAAAATATGCCTCAGATCTATCAGAATATCAAATATAAGGCATGGTTCCAGGTGTGTGTGGAAGTTATCATTTTGGTCAAACTTTTAGATAAACAGAGAGAGAGACAGAGACAGAGACAGAGACAGAGAGAGAACTCTTGGGACATTATTACTCCATCTGGCATATGGTTTTCCTTTTTCACTCTCTCCTTGTGTTCTGTGTATGCCCATTAAAAATTTGTACACAATACCATGAGTAGTCTGCTATGCTTAACCCAAATAGGAAAGATCTCATAGGGGCACTCCAAGAAGAGAGGGGGCTTGCAGTGATTCAGAATAAAGGATTGCAATAAGCAAATACTTATTATTCTTTGTACAAGGTGTTGTCATTGTAGCCGGAAGACAAAAACAACTCATCCAATGCATGCAAATACGTGTACGTGTAGTCTGCACCCACACACTCATAGATTTATATATATGGGCATTTGTGTGTATGTGTGTAGTGAGAGAGAGAGAGAGAGATAGAGAGAGAGAGAGAGAGAGAGAGAGAGAGAAGAGAGTAGTTACGTAAGACGGACAACTAACTACCCACTAGTAATAATAAGTAGTAATAGTAGTAACGTTAGGTAGTAGTTACGTTTACCTTTACCCCTAGTTAGTTTA